GAGACTTTGTGGTCAATAGATATAAAAAAATTTTGTTTTTGATTGAGATAAAACGTGAAATATATGAATACAAGTCATGCATATGGATATGATAGTGTGGCACTAGAGGCTTAAGTGAGACATCGTAATTATTTTAGGTATTGATGTAAGAGCCTATAGATCTTGAGGATTTCAATTATTTCATTTTATATTAATAATATTCTTGAAATGAACAAATATTTTATTATATTGATTTCTATTATAGCTTGTTAAAGTATCAATTCATATTATTAATTATATATTTTTTTGGAATTTTTTTTAATGTTGTGAATTGCTAACCATTTTTATTTACTTTGAACATACTCTATTTTAACTAACATAGATTTAATGTAGTTGATTAGTTCAAAAATTGAGTCTTATAGGATCATTTTAATAGAAAACATACTCTAAAGCACAATAAAAAGAAACTTAAACTTAGAAGGATAGTTATCTTGTTATTAGAAGATCAAAATATTAATATATTGCATGGTATAATTTCAAAAAACATAAGCCAGAGATATAACTTAATACAATAATAACTTTCATTTGTTTAGATGAAAATTTATATTAGGAACAAATACTATTGGTATGTTGAATCATTTGAATATGTTTAGCGATCATGGATAAGATTAGAGATAAGGGTGAATATGTACAAATAATAAAATAATCAGTAATACATTAACAACCAAATAAAGGAAACAACATATTGTAGTGAAGTTAGAATTGAATAAAAATATTTGGACAATAAATGTAAAAAACATGATTCAATTGATCTTAGATATTTTGTATCGGTAAAACGTTAGTTGGTCAAAGTATAATTTTTCTCATGACAAAGACGTACAAACTATATCATTATCTACGATTAATTCCAAATCTATATTTGGCGCCAGAGATTGTGCTTTTGATCATTTCCAAAGTTATCTTACGTTAAAGTTGATTGAATCACTCATACGTGAATAAAGTTGGATTCAAAAGGATAACCCATGAATTCTAGATAAAAAAGAAATGCAGTACTTTGAGAAAATAAAAGTAGTGTGTTTTCTAGAATATAAAGTATTTATTGAAATATGATATGCATATATTTATTTGTAGGCTAACTATATGTATTATTTATTTTTATCAAAATTACCCATAAATCCTTAATGGTTTCGAAACTCAGCGTAAATCCTTCATTTACTTTAAAAATTGCATGACACTCCCTTATACTTTTAAAAATGTTGCATGACTCCACTGTGGTTTTAAAACTCAATGTAAATTCCCACTTTATTTTAAAAAATTGCATAGCGACCCCTTATACTTTCAAAAATATTTCATGAAACCCCCCGTCATGCAAAATATACAGATAAAAAATCATATTTTCATCATACAAGGGAGTTTTCATGGTGATGGGGTTTCATACAACGTTTTTGAAAGTATAAGGGGGTGCTATGCAATTTTTAAAGTATATGGAGATTTTTACGCTGAATTTCGAAACCACATTGGAGTTATGAATAATTTTACCTTTATTTTTAAATACAAATTTCATTTTCTATTTTGGCATATAATAAAAACGCCACACTTGTTTGGTTGTGTTGTCTATATTTGACATCAAAGGGAAATTGTTATGTTGTCTACATTTGTGCAGGTTGATTTTGAACACTTTTTGCATGAGAAAAAGTCCTTTGAAAGTTTTTTTTATGAAGATCAAATGATTGTTTGTATACTAGTGAAGACAGAACAAGGGATCAAAGCTATAACAACAACAATTATTGTCTCGATTCAATTCTTCAATCTTGCTTAAGAGCAGCATCCAGTCAAAGATGGTCTGAGTGAGAGATTAATTCTAATTTATAGCGAGAGAAATAAGTGTATTTATTTTTCTCAACGTATGTGTTCCATGTTCTCCACATTCTGAAGATGTTTTTTTATCATTGAAGCTCAAAATATGATTTAAAAATAGAGGTTTTAGTGTTCCAACCGGAGAAGAAAAATAAACTGTAAACATTCTAACTCTCAACTAGATTGTTAATCTGCATGTGTTATGTTTGCTGAATGACAACTAATTTATTGTAGATTGAGGTGTAGAGAATGGTTTTGGAGAGGTTATCTTTGTTGTAGGTTGTTGGTGTTTCTAAGTCCTTATAAACCTAGTTATAATTTGTGGAGGATGTCTCCTAGGTTGAAATCCTCAAAATGTAGGTTTTTACAAAGAATTTGATTAACAAATCTTGTGTGTTGTATTTTACTTTGTGCATCGTCTCAAATACATAGTTTTTATAACCGCGAAACAATCACGCATCATAGTCAGAGGAGTTGGCCTTTCAAGCATGCCTGTTTCAATTTATCCAACATTTATATTTGTTATTATCAACTCAAAATTCTAAAAAAGAAACCTATCCGTGAAGCCTACCTAAGGAATTCTGAAACTTGAAAGACACAATAAAAGCTCCTAAATCCTAAAGGTCAACTAAAAAGCTTGGGAAGCCACAACATCATTTGGATAAGACAAATTGAAAGGTATTCATATGATAATTATTTGTTTTCAATAGATTTTTAAGGGCATTAAAAGATGATTAAATAAAAAGATGTAGAATAAAAAATAAAAATTTATTAGTATGGAAAGAGAATATAAATTAAAGAAGGTAGTTTATTGACATTCAAGGCCAATCAACTAAGAATGAGGAATCAATGAGGATGATAAAATATAAACCAACAAAATAATGAAAGAGGGAAGATATTTAATGGAAATTAAAAGATCATACGGATATGATGAAGGAGTTCATGGGAAAAGAGTTTAAGAATGTAATTAAATGTGATAGGAGTTTAGTTAGGTATTTGATAGAGGAATTCATCAAAGGATTAGAAGGAAAAATGATGGATCCAACAATAAATAATACACGAGTTCTTACCTTTATTATTTTATTTTATTTTTGTTTATTTTAATTTTACTGTCTTTTTTGTTATAAGTATTTCATCTCTGCAATTTATCTATTTTCATCGTAATCTAGACCTTCAATTTATCTTTATTGTTTAAAGGATCAAACCATAATTTGAAATAGAAACCAAATAGATATATATTCTTGTGGATGATATTAATCAAAGAAGTTTATTAAGATTACTTTGTGGTTTAGGTTCAATAAGTCATGACAAAGTATATTACTATATATAAATAAAAAATAAAAAAATCACTTTATATAAAACACAATTAAGCAAAACAAAATGTCCATTGTGAAGATCAACCCATCAACTCAACAAATATGTATATAATGCCTTTTTTAGTCACAAAGTTGAACAATAAAGACATTTCATAGTAGTTTAACGCACCGAAATCAATCAGAATTTTGAAGTTAGCGTGCTTAAGTGATCCATTCAAAACAAATTGATTGTGCAGAGATCGTAAAAGTGATTGCAACTGGTCCCCATTATCGTTGTGGAAACTGAAGATAGTTACAACAAATTCTGAGAGTACATGTGCAAGGTGCGATTAGTGGGTCAAATTTGTTAAGAGTATTCTAGAGTAGTGACATGCGTTAATAAAAATATCATTGTGATAAATGGATGAGCTGTAGTGTTGTAGATAGAGTGAGCTCAGGTTGGGAAACCCTTTGGGGAAGATTGTGATACCCCTAGAGTTAAGTCGTTGCTTCGCTAACTTTGGCTAACTCCTGTGTGTGGATAAGCTAGTATTAGGTCATCCGAAGTTGAATAAAAATTAAATGGATTAAATAGACTATTATGTCAACAATGTGTACATTTCTTTTCGGGAGTTCTACTGAAAGAGCTCTACAGTTAAGCATGATTACTCTAGAATAATTTGAGGACAGAAGCGTACGGGAAGAACTCGTGTTGAACTGTAAGGTACAATCCCGATATGCTCAGCTTCGCGTGGCTTGCGGATCAGGATGTTACAAAGATGGATGGGGATTTCCAAAGAGAACATCTGATATTGCAGTTCTGTAAGTTCGATTCGATTATTGAGGAGTTCAAGTGTGCCTGGGTTGTTATCCGAGATGACTGAATTGGATTAACAATTTATATATATTTTGCTTTTATGTTTACAATATGCGGGTGTTTGATTCTTACATAAACCACAAAGGTCTGAGTTCTTGCAAGTCTACATTTATTGTGCAGTTCATTGATTCATTTTGCTATCATCTTTAGGGATTGGAACCAATAATATATATACATATATATTTCTCTTTATATCATTATATTCAAAAATTAATTTTATATAAATAATAACATAATAAAAAAGATTAATATAAATATTAAAACGATATAATATATATCCAAAGGATAAATATATTTTTTAATATAGAAATGATTTGGTGGTGGATAAATATATATATTTTTTAATGTAACAATAATTTGGTGGTGGATAAATATATTTTTTTTAATGTAGAAATGATTTGGTGGTGTAGTGTAAACTCATATACATAAGGTCATAATTCGTCTATTATAACTTGCCTTATCAACCTAATTTACAGATTAGTAGGTTCGAGTGCGAGTTGTCACGTTATAAAAAAATAATCTTTTCATATTAATATTGATTCCATCATAAAATCATTTATGCAAAAGTATTTAAACAATAAATTTAAAATAAAGTAGATGATTACATTTTTATATAAAATGTGAATAAAAAATCAAGGAGGATCTCATTTTGAAATTATAAATTCAACATGATTGTATTGAACTGCATGATTTGATTTGGATACTATTAATTTAATTAAAATTATTAAATGTAGAATTTAAGGTTAAAAATAAATTGAGATAGGTATGCTCAAAGATTGTAAAAATGAGCATATGATCGTAATCATAAAAAATTATAAAATTACACAAATTCATAATTCGATCATGTGTAACTAAAAAATTGAAGTATAGCTACTTGGTAATTTAGTTTTTGAGTTTCTAGATTTTAATGATGGATATCCATTTTATTTTATCGAACACCACCTATAATATTACAGATTCAAGAACACTCTCCAAAAATATGTGCATATTGCTCGATTCAACTGATGAAATGCTTATAGTTAAATAAACTTCTTCAATACATGCAACATTTCGACAAATACTTTTTTTTCGAGACTTCATTGTCAGCCCAGAAATGTCTGCATTTGGACAATGTCTTGACCGGTGGTCGAAACCCCGACGTTAAGAATACAACGGCTATTCATCGCAGGATATGCGATAAAAGATGGGTCGAATGCCATCAAACTCACATCATTGGCATCATTCCAGCCGGACAAGAATTCATTCTCGGTGCAAACGGGGCTTTGCGAAGATTCTGTGGATTTATTACACAAATCCCACAAATGTGGCATATCGTTGTTATTATTGTTGTCGTCGTTGTTTTCGTCTGTTGGAAAAGTATGGATGGTCGTAATGTCATGGATGCTCGGCCTCCTTTTGTCTTTGCTCCCGGAAAGTTGCCTCAAATAGTATTTTTGAGCGTGGCTAGCAACTTGTGTCGGTGTTTTAGAGATCACAAAATTTCTAGATATGCTTCGCCAATCTCCTTTCCCGTGCTTCCGAAGACCTAATAAGAAACGCCTGCCCGTAGAAAATCAAATTTCTAAGAATTAAAAAGCAAAATTCACCTCGAAAGATAGGTACAAACTTCCAAGACTTTAGATCATGGTAAGAGAACCTAGAACTATTGGATTTGATCTCTTTTGTATGAATTGAGATAGTAGAACAAACTAAAATTTTTCTGATCAAGATCAAAGGTAATTTATTAATGATAATAAAATTTAAAAGTACTCCTTGCCCAAATGAAAGGGCTCTTTGAGGTTTTATACTTAATTAATAAATAATAGTATTTTATTAGCAAGTGGAAATATGCATAATAATATATTTATAATTTAAGTAAAAGTTATATTTTGGTATTATTGTATAATTACTTTTTCTAAAATAGAAAATAGATATTTTGAAATGAAATAGAGAAAAATAGTAAAAAGAGTACTCTGAGAAAATAATTTTTTTAGGTTCATCCAAAATAGTAAAACACCATTTCAAGATCCTAAACGACTTGAGAAAACCGAAAACTTATAATCATAACACAAAAACCGAAAAAATTACCGAATTGCTTCAAGATCATAACCACTAATTAATCCAAACATGAAATCAAAGTGGATCCATCCAAATTTTCATAAAATAAAAAAAACAAAGAAAAAAAAGAGTAAATCATCAAACAATCTACCTGTGTTCTTCCTCGGTCCATGGCACGCCTTTCTTCCGATCATGATCGCCCATTCGAGCACGCTTTTTATACACATTGTGGCCATGAATGACCTCTGTTTTTGAAGTAAATGGAGATGGAAAGTATCCGGGCATAGGGACCCGGCCAGCCTCGATATCTCGGATATCGGATACTAACTCCTCGTACTGATTCACAACATCATCGACAGACTTTCCGGGGATCATTGCAGCCACCTTAATCCATCTGTTGGGGGTCTCCTCATCGAAGATTGCTAGAGCATTTTCGAACCTCTTGTTCTCGTCTTTTGTCCACGCGTGGCCACTGTATAACAACCAGCTTGAGTTCCTGACAAGTGATGCAGTCGGGCACAAGGTCTCCATAGCCAAAAAGCTTGAAAATTAACCTGTTTTTAATTTAGAAAATAATTGAATAAAATTCCAGTCTCTGAAACATTTTATCAGATTCAATTTCAAAGCGATGCTACCAAAATATCGAATTGTTGAAGAAACAAAAATAATTAAATTTATAAATAACATAAGAAAAAAAAAGTATTGTATGTTTGAATTATATATTAATTACCTCTTTAATATATATATGTAAAAATTTTAATTCGCAGTTTACCCTAAAATAAAATAAACAAGACATTGAAAACCCTAAAGAGATCAAGAAATTCATAACATCTTTTACTGGGAATCTGAATACTTTTCTTTTTTCACAGCAGAAGTTAAAGACTACAATAAGAATCACCCCCACCCCCCCACCCCCCCCCCCCCCTCACCCCAACCACAACCAAAAATAAATAAATTTAAATATCAAAGAAATAAACATATGTAATTCAGATCACAAAAAGCTTGTAGATTCAGACTTGAAATTTAAATCTTTTCTGATATTCATGGATTAGAGCAAAACCTGGGGAACTATCTGTATATCTGCTGAGAGATTAAAATGATTATCAAAGTCTGAGGATGAGCAAAATATAATCTGTCGAAAGAAAACAAAATCAATATAATTAATCAAAACAAAAACACTTTGCAGGGATGCAGAAAACGATGATGGGTGTGGATGAACGAACGAACACAAAGGAGTGTGAATATGGAAAGACAAAAAGGGACACGAAAGCAGATATGGTTTATGGCTTTTGTAGTATTCTGTGATATATTTTTGCACAAGATATATAAATAAATGGTTTTTTTTAATTTATTTTTTTGTTTATTTGTCCATATGAATCTGTGCTTAGCTATCAAAGCCACTTTATTGTCAGCAAACAATAAGCATCCACGAGTCAATAAATTATTCGATTATAAAAAAAAAATTAAAAAATCTAAAATAAATTATTGCTATTATATTGTTATATCAGCACCCTCCTTTTATTTGTTTTCTTTATCAATCTTTTAATTTTTATCGACAAATAAATATCTATATTGTTTGGTATTTAACTTTTTATGATCATACATAGTTCTTAAGACTATGACTGGTCATCCTGCTTAAATCATTGACCACTATGCATTTGGTAATTCATTGTTTAATTGGCTAATATTTAACAGTGGATATAAATATATGAGAATGCTGATGGAAAAGAAATTCAACATTGCTAAACTTTATTAAAGTAGTTCATACATCGATTATATTATCCAATGATTTTAATTAAATAAAGGGGAAAATGTAAGAAAATAAATTAATGACAAACCTCATGTTTATGTTTCACATAACAAAATTCAAACCCCAAATAATAAATCTACAAAAATAACAAGGTACTAGCAATTTAACCATTAGACTAAAGTTTAGTAATCTCTTCTTCTTCTTTTTTTCTTTTTCTTTTTTAACGCCGAATCTAATAATTTGTTTACACTAGGTGACCATGCATTATAGACAAGATCTGAAGGCGGGGTTTTAACCCATGACCGTGATCAAGTTCACTATCAGATCATCCCTTACGGGTTCAATTTTTAGTAATCTTAATATAATAACAAAAATAACTTTATAAATATTTTCAAATTGAAATTTAATAATAAATTATTTATTAATATATTACACGATTAAAATATAAATATAAATATAAAATTAATGTGATATTTTTAATATAAAATTAATTTAGTATAATATATTTTATTTAATAATTTGAAGAAATATTTTCGATAAATAATAAAAATCGTTACAGAAATCCTCCAAACAAAAATGTTTTCTTAGTTTATATAGAATATAAAATTATTTTTTAAAAATATTATAAAAATATAGAAATACCAATTTCATATCTTAATAAAAATTATTATACTGTAATACGCTTAACTTTTACATAAATTTAAAACATATAATTATACACACAATTAATTTATACAGGCAAAAATTTCAAAAGTTTTTAAGACAATTCCACTAACCAATAAAATATTATTATTTTATAATCTATTACAAAATCTCAAAAGACCTTTTGAAGTGAGATGAAGAGAATAATAAATACACAAATTTAAATATATATACATAAAAATAAAAAAACAAAACAAAACAGAAATATACATAATGTTACTCTTTATTTTATCTTTATAATTTTACGTATTCGCAACAAAATATATAAATTTATAAAATTAAACAAGCACACTAAAATATACAAATGAACTCAAACTCAAATAATTAAATAAAAAAAATTATAATAATTTACTTAAAAAAATATAAACAAAATAATTATTTTATTTAAAAGCTTATTTTATAAAAAAAAAATTAATAATAATATTATATAGTATTTATATATCAGTAGTAGTAGTATATATATTGGAGGCCTATGAAATCTAGTGAGAATGGGCCTTGGCAAGCCGTTGCCCAAGGGCCGGACCGGTTTATTCAGTAATATTAATAATGTACGTATATATTAAATTTTATTAACTATACATCAAAATAAACTCTATTATTTTGAACAATTAAATTTATAAATACAATGAGCTTTATGATGCGTGTAGAATAATAACTACAATGAGTTAGCATCATTGGAAATTTGTAACTTTTGTGTGTGCCAATCAATGTAAATATGAAAACTAATATCAACCCAATTCAGGTTTATACATACATACATATATGTATATATATACACGTGTGTATGTATATACACTATGTGTGTGGAGATAGAGTATTTGTTATGTGGCTTTGTCCCAGACTGGTTAATTTAAATTTTTAAGTAATAGTTGTCCCATATTGCTTGCGGTGACAAAGTTGTCATAGGTCTTTTCCTATAAATTGGTAGCTTTGGATTGAGTTTTAAACACACCAAAATTAGAAAAGTAGTCCTATATATATATATATATATTTGTGGGTTACTTGTTTTGCTTTGTGGGTGTTTTGGGAGATCGGGAGTTGTTGGCTTTTGAATCGTTATTCGAGCCTATTTTGTATTCCTCTCTTGATAGTGGAAGTTTACTCCGTCTTTGCCCGTGGATGTAGGTCATCTTGACCGAACCACGTATATTTTTGTGTCCTTTAAATTTTTTGTTCTTATTTTTGTCATTGTTAAGGTTTTGCAAATATTTGTTTGGGGCCATAATCCTAACAAATTGGTATTACAACCCTTGTTATATTTGTGGGAATTTTTTGTTACTACACAATGACAGTCACAAGGACGGTAGTGGAGAAGTTTAACAGAAATGTTAACTTTGGGATATGGCAGCTCAAGATGAAGGCCATTTTGGTCCAATGTGAAGTTGATTTGGCTATCCAGGGTATTGAAGAAATGCCTAAAGATATGAAGAAGTCCAAATTTTTGGAGTCAAATAAGAAGGCTCGTTCGAGTATTATCTTACATCTCTCTGATGAGGTTTTGTAGGAGGTTGCTACAGAGACTTCGGCTAAGGCAATGTGGGATAAGCTTAAGGCTTTGTACATGAATAAGTCTATCGAGAATCTTCTATACCTAAAGCAAAGCCTTTATATGCTTCGAATGGAAGAAGGTAAATCATTGCTTTCCCATCTTGATAATTTTGATTCGATTATTATGAATTTGAAAAATATTGATGTTAAGATAGATAATGAGGATAAGACATTGCTACTTTTGTGTTCATTACCCCAATCTTTTAAGAATTTTCGTGATACTATGATTTATGGGAAAAAATTTATCTCTTATCAAGAAATCAAGACTGCTTTGAAATCTAAGGAGCAAATAGATAGAGATATCACTGGAAATATTGAGGTTAATGCTGAGAGCCTAGTTGTTAGAGGAAGATCGGATAAAAGAAACTATGACAATAGTAAACCTAGATCGAAGGCTAGACATCGAAATATAAAGTGTAACTATTGTCATAAGATGTAGCACATTAAAGTTGATTTCTTTAAATTGAAAAATAAGCAAAAGGGAAAATTGGTTGAAAAAAAGATTACACCGTTGAAGCTAGTGTTGCTACTGACGATAGTGAGGGTAGTGTTTTTCTCGTAACTCATGATAGGATGCGATCTACGGATGAGTGGATTTTGGATACATGATGCTCTTATCACTTGTGTCCCAATAGGAATTTGTTTGCTACTTATGATTCAAGCAACGGAGAAACTGTCTTAATAGGCAACAACGCCATTTGCAATGTTGTGGGAAAGGGCATTTTTCGTATTAAGATGCATGATGGCATTGTGATGACACTTACTAATGTTAGGCATGTCTCTGATTTGAAAAAAGAATCTAATCTCTTTGGGGACACTTGAGGCACTTGGTTGCAGGTACATGAGTCAAAATGGTGTTCTGAAGATTTTCAAAGGTGCTCATTGTATACTTTGCAAGGGATGATTGTTATTGGAAATGCAACTGTTTCATCATCTTTTTCGATTGAATCTGACATCACCAAGATATACCATATGTGTTTGGGGCATATGAATGAAAAGGGCTTGGGAATCTTAAGCAAGAGAGGACTTCTTTGTGGACAAAGTACTGGATCGTTGGAGTTCTGTGAGTATTGTGTATTCGGAAAGCAGAAAATGGTGAGTTTCAAGTCACCAGCAACTCACAAGATGAAAGGTACACTTGACTATATCCACTCTGATCTTTGGGGTCCATTTGGTGTTTCATCTAAAGGTGATGCCAAGTATATACTAACTTTTATTGATGACTACTCAAGAAAGGTTTGGGTATATTTTTTGAAGAATAAGAATGATGTTTTTTCTAACTTTCAAACAGTGGAAAGTTTTGATTGAAAAGCAAACAGGAAAACAAATCAAGCGGTTGAGAACCGATAATGGCTTGGAATTTTGCGGAGGGGAGTTCATTGAGTTTTGCAAGAAAGAAGGAATCGTTCGGCATCGCACAGTCAGGATGACACCTCAACAGAATGGCGTGGCTAAATGTATGAACATACGCTCTTGGAAAGGGCAAGATGTATGATCTCCAATGTAGGATTGACTAAGTATTTTTTGTCTTAAGCAATCAACATGGCTGCCTACATTGTCAATCGCTCTCCAAATTCTGCTCTCAACTTCAAAACTCCTGAAGAAGCTTGGTCAGATACTCCTGCTGATTATTGTAATCTAAAGATTTTTTGGTGTTCATCGTATATGCATATAAATGAAGGAAAATTGGAGCCTAGGTCTAAGAAATGCATTTTCCTTGGTTATGCTTCTGGAGTGAAAGGATTTAGATTATGGTGTCATGATCCCAAATCTCCAAAGTTTGCAATCAGTAGAGATGTTACATTTGATGAAATGGCTATATTGTCTAACAAGGAGTCTTTGAGTTCAAGTGAGAATACACAGAAACAGGTGGAGTTCGAAATTTGTTGTTCTAGCACTCCTCAGCCAGATCCTTCTGTTCAGCAGACATCAGTTGATATTGAAAGTTCAGAAAAAGAGCCATATTCCATAGCCACTGGAAGACAGCGCAGAGACACTCGACCTCCACAACAGTATATAGACTTTGTCGTATATGCACTGTTTGTTGCAGAAGAAATAGGTGGAGACAGTGAGCCATCCACATATTCAGACGCAATTTAGCGTGATGATTCTGCTAAGTGGATAGCGGCGATGAATGAAAATATTGAGTCTCTCCATAAGAATAATACTTGGGTTCTTTTGAAACCATCACCAGATAAGAGAATTATTGGAAGCAAATGAGTCTTCAAAAAAAATGAAGGCATTCAAGGAGAAGATAAAGTAAGATATAAAGCATGGTTGGTT